CTTGCGCACGCTTGCGCCGTGCTGGTATTGGAGCGGGTCCTAAACCTGCATCCGAAAATTAAGTGCGCTGTTAGTCTACTGTCAAGAGGCGGGGGTTTAGAACAACTCTCACATCCTGATGACAACTGCAAGTTGCCGTGCCACCGGACTCACGCCGCCGTCCGATCAGCCAATGCTTGCAAAGGGGCAGCGGGCAGGTGATGCAGGGCAGCTGGTAGATTTCCGCACCTCACTGTTGGCACTGACAACAAAATGAGCAGTCTCCTGGTGTCATGAAGTCTGGGAGCGTGGCGACAAGAAACCCTGCACCACGGAGACACTGATGTCACACCTGCAGTGACCCTCTCAAGCCTGTGATTCTTGTGTGTGTAAAGGCGTAACTACGCTGTGTCTCTTAATCTACCAATCTGTACTGCAGCTAGTTAACTCTGTCGATGCCTCGTCCAATATGTCTTCCAGGATAGCTTGTCAGACACATGTGAATCCTAAGTCTCCAATCCCTGGACAACCCCGAAGCCCACGAGCCCCAAACCCTAAACGTGATTTAGGCCCTGCGTTACGCGGGGCCTTGCATATCTCACTTTTCCTCATTGTGTCTATTTGTGTCTCAGGGTTTTGGGTCTGCGTCTGGCATCAAGGATAAGTGAGCCATTAACATTTAACAAGAAAAACATGTGATGTTTCTAAGACTCAACGGCAACGTCTGCTCCGTGCCGGCAAGGTGGGACGCCATCTCCTCCGCCTGATGTTCACCCGTGGTCAGCGGTTGAACCGACAGAATGAAGCCCCTTGCACGAATGAGATCCACACATATTCCGCATCATTCGTGTTTGCAAAGGCCTAGGCACCATTGCCGCGCAATTGGCCCATTTGCTGGGAGAATGACAACATGAGACACCCATACATCTCGAAACTATCCAGAAAAGTCGGAGTTTGTGGGAGTTCTGCTGGTCTGAGCAGGGTACCACCAGCAACTCCAGCGAAGCACGGTGGTCCAAGGCAGCCAGGCTTTGTTGGAAGACCTGCAGCTGCATGGAAGTGGCACAGGGAAGGGTATCCCTCTGAAGAAGGCCGCGGCGTCTCGTAAGGCCTGCGACAAGCATTCCACTGGCACCTGCAGAGGCGAGTTTCTGTACGTTTCATGCACTCCTACAGTCCTACAGTGGTGCTGCGCCTGGCTCTGCAAGTCCACCAAGCCCCGAATGCACGCGAACAGGGACGGCCTGTATCAAAAGCCCGAGTGAAAACACATTCTCACAGGCTTGGCGACTTCATCGCTGTTATACATATCAAGGCATCGTGGCCAACGAAAATTATAGTATACCAGATTAACGGCTACGTATGCGGGACGTTCCGGATTTTGACGTGTGCGCGCAGGAAGGGCCGGGCTTGTTCCAAAGCGCGCGGGACGTGAATGATGCAGGGTCAGATGCAGTGGACACAGGGGATGCCGCGCTCCGGCAACGTAAGCTGGAAGACTGCCTGGGCACGAGGGGCTTCGTCGGGAGAACGTGGATGAAGGAGACGGAGGGTTGCCATTGCCGCGGTTTATTTAAATTGTTCCTCGGCAAACAGAACTGAAACCTGCCTCTAACAGAAAACCTTCTGGCAGAAAGCATTGTGTATACGACGGGTTGAGTCCAAAGTCAAGAAACCAGGCCCCAAGCTGAAGCCAAAGACTTGTCCTAATAGAAAATCCGGCAGAGGCTTTTTGCTAAGGCTGGAGAGTCCCCGTTTCCCTTGCCAAAGTTGGCTCTCATTTCTTGTTGCAAACGCTGTAAATTGCAGCCTTTGCTACTGCTCCGAGGCTTCAAATGCTGTTCATTAATTATTGCAGTTCTGGCGGTTCAGAGGCTCGGAGCGATATGAATTACTGCATACTGCATTTTTGGTACTCACAAGCTCCACATGCTGTCAAGTACGACACTGTTTTCAACTACAGCATCCCCGCTCAGAAGCTTCCAATGCTGCGAATCCGCTTGCTCACAGGCTAATTTCCAGCTATTTACGCGCTTGAAACACATGCTGTAAAGTTGCGCATGTCGAGAAGCAAGTTCTACATGTCGTAAATTTCACTTGGAGAAGCATTGGCAATTCTCGCATGATGGGCTTGTGGAATGGGCTAATGAAGGAATGCACATGGATGACACAACATTGAAAACCTTCCTCGGCTCTAAACAAAGCGGTGGCTGTTTGGAAAGGGTTCATGAAGAAATGCACGCTGATGACACGACGTGATCGAAGCATGTTTGCCCGGCTTAACCATAAGCGGCTGAGTTGGGGAAGGTCCAGCCCCACCTGCCATTTGCAACTACAATGCTCGTATGCTGGGATTCGCCCCTCCAAAAAAAATTGCAAACACATTGCTCGTATGATGGGCTGTTGGAAAAGATTCGTGAGGGAATGGTCTTGAACGTTGCTTGCTCTCAAGCGCGTATGCAGGCCTCTTGAGACATCTTTATACTAGTAGTCGTCCCCGTCGTCATAGTACTAGTAATTAATTACAGCGTCTTTAGGTAAGGCCGCCTTTGAACTGGACATAACTGGGCCCGAGGCGTCAGGCTGCTAGGATCGGAATGTGCATTAGCCCATTTGCCCTGCCCTCATCAGGGCGGCACTTCCTTGGTTGGCCGAACGGCCGCAGCAGTTTCAAGACCAAGGCTGGCCCATCCAGCCGACGACCGCACAGTCGCCCAACACTGCGCACGGCTGCCAGCGCCGGAAGTACTCTCTCTGTGGTACGGTCCATCAGCTTCAAAGGCAATCCTCTCCCTTCGACAGGTAAAACAACTCAAGGACAAGATTGATTTCCATTCACGCTCACCATCAACTTCTTGCTTGTTCCACGATCTGCGGGCGTGAGTGATGTCTTCCCTGACATGTACACTGCCACCCGCACACACGCTCACACACCAGCGCATCATCACATCATAACTCGTCGTCGTGCTAACCCCCCAGAACCTTGACATATCTGCGGTGGCCCTATAGTGCCCTATCTTCGAGAGAATGCTGGCAAGAATGCAAATCATACCATTCGTCAGCGGGTCAGCTGCCGGCTGCTGGTCGGTGAGCTTGCGGGCAGCGAATGCCGTGACAAAGCATATGCCGCATCACACGGTGTACTTATGCTGCCAGCTTCTTCTGATCCCTCACCTGTCCAACATACGCGCCTTAAAGTCACAACATGATGCTCCCAACCGACCAGCCTCAGATGTGCCAGGTTGGTGGCGGCCTTCGAAAGGAAGAGCCCTACATCTTCTGGCCTGGCAGAGCTATGCCATGTCGTCTCTTGCGCTTGTCCCAAACAATCAAACGTACTTCCGGCCTGTTCAAAACAACGAGGGCAGTAAGTACAGCGGATAGAGCCTCGCACGAGGCAAGAGGGCGAGGGTTTCGGTGAACCTCAGACAAAAGCAGGAATTTCGTTTTCGCCGTGGCCGTCTACGCGATACCGTGCTGCAATCGTCAGTCGAGTCTGTCTAGACATAGCATGGCTGCGATATGCGGTGGTAAAACTAACGACCTTGCTTATCTCGTTCCAACAAACCCCTCGTGGCACAGGTAGCTGGGCTACCCGCGCCGTGAGCCATGCTAGGTTGCTGGTTGCCACACATGGAAGCGCGGACCGGAAGCTGGACCAGACGGAAAGGCCATTGGAGTCTTGGGCAGGGTTTCAGAGGTTAGACAGGTTAAATGCCGTTTGCACCAATGGGGTTGTCCATCGTAGTCGTGTGCTGAGCAGTGCTGCAGCTGACCGTTCTCCGTCTTCTATCAACAGCCGGAAGCACAAAGCAACTGAACAAGATTTGTGTCGTCCTGCCTGGGATGTAAATTCATCCAGCAGTGGCCATGCATCAAGCACCTGCAGAAATCTCTTGATAGCTAGATATGCCCAGGGGACGCACCCGACGATGAAGATGAAATTGATTCTGCGGATGAGACCAAGATAACACATAAATTTCGTTCGGCTTTCCTGTATGCTGCAAACGCTGACCGATGGAATCGAGGTGCTGGTTAGGTACACGAGACTGTAAGGACACAATGCAAAATTCGAACTGTTTACTTAGTTCGGGCGCATGCCCTGCTGGGGATGAACCGAAACGCAAGCACAAGGCAAACATGAGAGCTCAGGACGACGATGCTCAGGCGAGGCCTGTGCGTGCAGTTAGTACGTTCTCTCCCCTCCACGGCCCGGCACCTCTTCATGTCTCTGCTGAGCCAGCATGGTCTGCAGCTGCTCCAGAGTCACCCGGTGCCTTCTTGTCGGGTGCAGAGACAACACGAGGCGTGGTAGCGTGGTACCATGCGCTGCCTGCGAGTGCCCAGCAGTTGCTTCATAGCCTGTAGCAGATCAAAGGCAAAACTCTGTGCTGAACGAATTATTGATTTGTGCCCGGCACCGTCGTTCGGCAGAGCGCGAAGCCGAGGCAGAAGAAGCAAAAAAGACAAAACTCCTGGGCCTGAGATGTGCGCTTCGCAGCCGATCCGCTTCACACAGACGGCAATTTCGGTGGGCGGCCAATGGAGCTGCCGCCAGAGTGGACATGAAGGAAGCCAAGGCATCCCGTGCAGGGACCTCCCAAATTGCCCGGCAGCAGAGACATCTGCTATGCACATCGGATCCGCGCACCATCGTTGCCAAAGTTCGCTACTGGAAACCTCGGTATGGCACTACCCGCGGCCTAATGGCTCGATGCTGCACAACGGTTAACGTGAAGTGAGTTCTGAGACCCCAAACCCTATTCCATTTATGACAAGGCCGCGACCCCGATCTTGCCCTACATTAGCATAAGTCCTGAGACCCAAATAACCCGAATTCTTAGACCCTGACCAAAAATGCTAAGGGTCCTACATGCTTGAAGCAAGAAGGAATGCCAATGAATGTCAATGACGAAACATCCAGCCACTAGTCTACCACTGTCACTCCGCCGCGACGTGTTTGATGAACTCAGGTCCGCACTTCAAGTAAAACGTCGCCTGAGGGACTGGCATTCTTTGGAAATAGCGGAGCTGCAAAGTTCGAAACTCAGCCCAGTCACTCTGCAGCAATCAGTTCCCGGGAACCCTGCTTGCAGAATCTGGGTCAGATATGAGATGAAGACAACGCTACCTGAACAAACATGACACCGGACTGTGCAGGAGCCCACTCTGTGCATGTTCAACAAGTGCGGAGAAAATGCTCAAGAACCCGTCCTCATCCACCCAGCTTCCGGGCAAGCCTGCCCCTTTAAGAAGCTGTGAGCCAGTGTGACATCAGGGATTCAACTCAATCCCGAATGAACATCGGGATCTCAGGGGAGAGGCTAGAACTGGTCAACACCGCCAACACTGCCGTTGTTTTCTGGTTGCTGGCAGCTGCTGAACACCTCTGAACACTTTGGAGATGAAGACGTTTTTCCACTGGCGGGCACATCGGAGGCCTTGGATCCTGGCAGCAATCGATGTGAGGTGACAAGATGTGACAAGTGTTTCATCACGCATTGAGAGGCTCGGCTGACTCTGTGGATTGAGCACGTGGAATTGTGCTTCGATTTCTCGCCTGCCCTGTAGATAGTCATGACTGCACTGAGAGCAACCATCTTACTCGGTGTTCCTTTCCTGGTCGCTGTGCTTGATGCAACTGGTCCCTCCAATACGAAATGAGACGCCAATTTCCTTGCACATGTTCTGTGCAATCGCTGCGAAAGTACCATGTGATGTGCACGGATTGCTGAAGTGGCTGCTTTCAGGCGCAGCGACGAGCACGTGTCCCCCTGCGGGCATGAGGGTGCTGGCGTTGGGGGTTCCTTGACGAACACAATCTCCTCCGGCCAGTTCTTCTGGGATGAGGTTGGTCTCTTGCCAATGTGGGCATAAGTTTGTTTGAAAGGACCTGCATAGCTTGACTTCAAACTCGACATGCGCTGGCCATCGAAAAAGCATCGCACAGCTGTACTCTGCGAGGTGGTCTGGCTGTACCCAGACTTCCTCCAACGTCATGGGTAGCCACGAGGAAAGCAGTACGATCCCTCGTCTCATCGGGATCTTCGATTCCACCCTCCCTTTGCGATGAAGCGAATAGGCCCTTCACACTTCACGCTGCAAGGACGAATGTGAGTTTCCCTTGTACGCACGCACAGTCCAACATGAGGCACACCAGCTGTGCACACGGGGCTCGAGCTAGGCCGCTGGGCCAGCTACGAGTGCAATACAGTGCAGCTCGGGCCAGGTGGGTCCTCGGTCCTCTCACGCTCGCCACGGGCGCTTCTGCTGCTTCTCAAAAGCCGCCAGCTCCAATTTCCTCCGCCTGCTTCAAACACTTTAGCGCTCGCTCTCGAAAGTCCAGAGTGATAGTTTGCAAGTCAAGTCAGGGCCTGATTCTCTCCGCTTTGGCACGGGTCTTCTCAAGGTGCAACCTTGCGTTGAAGGGCGAGAATGCCAGTGCCAACTCGGAAGAGACCTCTAAGATTTCGACTTTTGCGATAGATACTCCTGTTGCTTCCGCCCTGCAATCACAAGGCAAATGCTCCGCTCGCTCCCCTCGCGGCGTCACCGAGGCCTGGAGGTTTCTGTTTGTCCCAAAGCCTCAAGCCACGCCGCTGGGCAGCTTCCTGCCAGGTGTCTCCACGCTCGAGTGCCACCTGCCAGATCTGCCAGAAACGCCCCCTGCAAAAGCGTTTACACAAAGTCAGGGAAGCACATCCGCCTCATGCGAGAGGATTCGGATTCGCTTTGGCTTCACCGGCATCTTGCGAAGCTGGATAGGCACGATGGGATCGTAGCGCTCTTCCTGAAGCTGCCAAGCTCCACGCCTTTCCTTTTCAAAAAGACGGTCAAAGCATCTCCTTGAGGTATTCCAAGTGCGGCTGCCACATCCAGGATGGACCTCGGCCACTCGCAGTCGGAGAGTCGCATCACGGGAGCTACCACCGAGTCGGGGCGTCGGCTTTCGGCCTCGGCCAGAAGGGGCTCTTCCTCTGCGAACCGCTGGAGAAGCGGGTGAACCTTCTTCCTGAGACCCGCCGTGAGGTGAGAGGAGGGGGCTTCTGTAACGGGAAGCTGTGGCCGGAAAATTTGAGTGGCACGCTTGGATGCCAGCTCAGGTCGTGCAGGACTCACAGGGAAGGCATCACGCTGTGCTGCCATCTCCTCTCCACAACTCATAAGGGCACGACCAATTTCACACAGGCCGGGTCCAGGCCTTTTTGGCGATGTCCATTGCTGAATGGGAGACGTCCTGCATGAGACTCCGGATTAATTCTGCACAGCGCTCCGTGAGTCTCCTTGAGGTCGGTCAAGCTTCGCCCATCGCCGTCGTCGCCGTGGTCAGCTTCGCTGATTTCCGGCAGCTTGTAAGGGGCTTTGTCCGCCTGCAGAGAAGCTTGATCCATCCAGGCCCTCACTTCCTGAGGGCAGGGACCGAACCGAAGCCCAGCACAAGCACTTCAAGCTGAAGTGAACCTAGCATGGGCCTTCTAGCGAAAAGAACATCCTTGCCTCCAGCACTAGAGGTTCGGCTGCGCCTTCCAACTTCAACCGCTTGGAAGAACTCACATCGTGGCTTTGCGGCAGCGCCTTCGGGAATGAGCTCGTAGGCATCCTCCAGGGAAAATCGGACCTTGATCAGTTTTTGGAGCTAAAGTCATCGCGAGGCGATGGTTGATAGATTCGTGTGTGTCCGTTTCTACAGAAGCTGCAGAAAAGCCCAAGGGCTTGCAGTGCCCTGTAGAGCTGCGGCAGCTGGCAAAGTTGAATGGTTTTAACAATACAGAGCACACGCCCCTTGGCAGCGACAGCCAGCCCCGCCAGACTCAAGCATCGGTGCCAACAGTCTCAGTCTGCATGCTGTTGCTCAGTAACGCATGGGACGAGGGGCCAGGGAGCAAACGCAGGACACCTGCAATCCTGGGACCGGTCCGGAGCCGCAACATGCTCAACACTGCGAGCAAAGGCAGCAAAGGCCGAGACTTCGAGGCCCCGCACGCGCAGTGCCAAGGGTGCTCGAGGGTTTTCTTCCGAAGTCACAGGAACCTTCCCGGAGAATAAATAACCAAAGCTAGTGGCATGCCACAGGGCCTCATGAGGCAGCGCAGTCTCGAACTGCACGAACTGACCAGGAAAGAGACCTGAGCGTAGATCAATCCTTGAAAGTCGTCAAGGTACTGTAGCCAATTAGTTCGACCCCAATTGCTCCGGATGCCACCGAAGCACGCCGGCTGTCATGCCACCGGATGTCTCGGCGAAGGGCTCGGATCATGTTGAAGGCATCCTGGATCAACATTATGATCATATCATGTGAAGATATTGCAAGTATGCGCAAGCAATGCCAGTGAAGTAAGACATCAATATGAATAGCTGACTAGCTGATCTGCTGCCGCCGAAGATGGTGCCAGCATGCAATGCGCTGCTTTGGCCCACTTTGGGCTCAAAATAAATCCTGCAGGGTTTCGAAAGCTCTCTGCGCAACGTAGACTCCAAGCAAGAGCCACCGTAGATCATCACGGAAGCAACCTCAACGGTTTATTGCCTGGAGAGGGGGGTGGGCCATATCGGAACTTGAACTACCCAAATACACGGCCACCCGGAGTGCATGCAACACCACCCCCCTCCTCCTCCCCCTCCTCCGGACAACTTGTTGGGGGTTTGCATAGTCTCGTAGTTGTCTTGGTTCGGAGTGGAACTGCAAGACGCGAGGTGCTTTGAAGCTCCGAGGCAAGCAAAGACGGGTTGGTGGATTTTCCAGAACCCTCACCGCTTTAAGCTCTCCCTCCGTCCCTACGCACTTCTCGCTTCCTTCCCTGGCGGTGACCTGCACTGCTCTGAACAGGCACATTGCCTGCTCCTCGGATGGAATGATGAAGCCCTCGCCAGCAGCCTGCTGTACAAACCATGATCATGGCATCCCTACCTGGCAGGTGGCCTCATCCCACTCAAAGACGACTCCGGTCTGGAGTCGAAGAACGGAAGGATCCGGACCTTCACGTTACGAGGCGATGGCGCTTTCGGAATGAGGCACATGGGGCTCCAACTTTGGATAATGGTGTTGTCCAAGTAGGTACACCTGGGAACACTGCCAGTAAAGTGCAAAAACTGGAAACAGCTTGGGCTCAGGCTTGGCCCCATTTACCACGTCACCGGGCAACACGTCGGTTCCAAAAGAGCCGAAGTTTGCCTCATATGCAGGCATTTGTGCCTAGCGGTTGCCGTCGGAAGCCGTGGGTGCCAGCCTCTGGGAGGAAGCCGAAGACTCCAGTGGTAACATCCTGCTCATGCTTCCGGTCACATTGCTCTACTAACGGTGACTCTGACCAGAAGCTTGTTTCTACGTTTCCCTCCGCATATAGTCATATGCATGTGTGATGAGTGATGTATGTATGTGCGTATGTGTGTACGCATGCATGTATGTACGCACGTGGGTGTGCACATGTACGTACGTATGTATGTATGCTGTATGCATGCAGACAAGGCAGGCAGGCAGGCAGGCAGTCACAAGAAGCCCCTTGCAGTCAGTGGGCGAACCCATAAGTGACTGGAAACTGTCATCCGAAATGGGCAGGCGTGAAAGACACTCGTGGAAGAAACAGGTCGGAAAATAATGAAGGACGACCAACACAATTTGCAAGAGCACCGTGGACAGCTCGGGCCGGGACAGCTGGAGCGGTTAAAGCCTTCTGCCGCTGCACTGGGTCGTTTAGTAGCAATCAGTTGGCCGCCAAATGTCCTGCACGATAGCACCTTCTTCCGTCACCTCTTTGATGAGGAGTGAAAAATCACCTGGCCAACAAGGCTGGAGCATCCTTGACACCACTTCCAGACCATGCTTCATGCGCACCTTCATAAAGGTACCTGGCGGCAAACCGCAACCACGGGCTCCAAGCAAGTTGAAGGGCTCCAAAGTGGTCTCCACTGTCGTGAACGCACTACCCTCCACCCTGACAGGCTCGTTGCTCCACAAGCACAGCGTCTCTGCCCCGACACAGTACTGTTACTGTTTGCAGTTATTCAAGCTGGAGCTGAAAGAGCGGAAGTGCGGATGTGGCGAAATATATGTGTGCGTGCAGAGGTCGCCGAAGCCAATCGACACGAACTTTTTGTGCACCGGTGCGGACGGATAAGGCAAAAAGTGAGTGGGTCTCGCGGCTTCACGCGAAGTAGCTACAAGTCGAGTTGCAACAGACACAAGTCTGTCAGTCTGTGCCTACAGAGTTGAGTTTCTGGGGCACTGTTGCTCCAGCGTCTTGATCTGCAGGTCCCAATCTGGAACTACTCCTTGGTACGTGGCAGGTATGAGGCTTTGCCAAGACGTACAAGGGCCACCAGATGCCAACAGGATTCGGTTGTAGTAGCTATCCTCCTTGTGTAAGTACCTCGGAGATGGAGCACAGCAAATGTGGCTTGTAGACTGCAAACCACTGCCCACCTGCTCAGCGGTCGCTCCACTGGCTCCTGCAGCAGGCTGACGGAGGACGACCTCGAATGCAGGCCGGTCCGTCATGTTTTGAAGTGTGGAAATCTATCAGCCCGCGGCTGTTGCCATCTGTCAGAGGAAGTAGATGGTGTTCTGGCCTGCCACAACTGCATCTCCATCAATTTCAGCGTCTCTTCCTCGCGGACTGTGTCCCACACCAGCTGGTTCGACCGCGGAGGTGGGAGCAAAGCACAGGTGGCTGGCCTAGCTGCGAAGACGGCGAAGCAAAGAGCGGAAGTTGAGATGAGAATGCAACCAATGTGAAGAATCCGTCTCTCGGCTCACATGACTGCGTCAATCAATGCCTTCCTGTGCTGATCATCAATTGGCTACTGCTCTGTCACATGCCGGAGGTGAGGAAAACTCTTAGACGGCAAACTCGGGCTTAGCCCGTCCTCCTTCGAGACATGGCTACCAGGCTACCAAGCCATGAGCTGTCGGAGCCGCTGGAAGAAGCAGTCCCGAGTGACTTGTGCTTCGAAATATGTTTGTATTGCATTCCTTCACTTGTGTGGGCATACAAGTCTTCCGGGTCCAAGGCCAGTGCAATTCGATTGTGAGACTCGAATCATATCAGTCCGCGAGCCACACACACAAACAACATTGCGAGAAACGAGTACACGGTGGTCGTCACCTCAGATGTGAATCAACGTGAATCAACATGTGCACTTTGCTTTGGAAACCCTCGCAGCCACCCAGGCAGCCCAAGCACAGCAAAGGCGATCTTGGATGTCCTGGGCAGCAGGTCCATAAGACAAGTCAGACATACATGGTTTCCAACAGAATGCATGGCTCACTGTGCCGATAGTTTTGTCATGATGGCAGGACTACAATTTCTTCTGCTTAATTCGTGGTTTGTCGTCTGCTGCGTGGCACTTGCTTAGCTTGGGCTTGCTAATGCAACATGCATTCGGGTTCAAAACTACAGCGGCGGTGATGACTTTCTGGCAACATGCCTGATCGGCGTTGTGCCCAATTTGGTCATTGTTGCTGTGGCCCATTTGTCAAGCTTCCTAGGGGGTCTGAATAGAGGACAACCGTTTCGGAATGTACGGCAAACAAGGTGACAGGCTACTTGTAGCCGAAAGGTCACAGCTGGCAGGCGAAAGTGAAAAACAACAAAACGCACTGCTGCTTTTGCCTCGGAAGGGCTGCGAGTAAACGCGTGAATCTGCTCAGCAAATGCTTCTTGCACTGCACTGTACGAACATGTCAGGGGTGGCCATTAGCAGTAGCACTAACACCCCCCCTCAGCCAATGCTTCCTATGGAAGTGTTGGCTGCATTCCTCACAACACAAATCCAGGGAACCTGGCCTTCACAGTAGGGATCCAGTGGTCCGCGCAGCACTGGTTGCATGCCGCCTTCCCACTTCTGATAGCCTCCCGGACTGTCTCCGAGTGGATCTCACGGGCATGCTTAAGGTTGCTGCACCGCTTCCGGTGGTAAGCATACCCAAACTTTGTAACCCAAACGCTTGGGGACAACTCTGCCTCAGACAGGCAACTCTCAGCGCACTCAAGAAAACCGCTGCGCTGTACAGAGAGGCTCAGGCGGGCTTCAGCTCTTCCTCCAGAGGATCGCGTAGTAGAGGTCGAGGAACTGGCCGCCGTTGCCGAAAATGTCGCCGCAGCCGGCCCAAGCCCTGTCTTCGGCTCAAAGAGATCCTCGTACGTCAGGGTCTCGTGAAGTCGGCGCTTTGCCTCCTCGAGGGTCTCCGGCTCCTGGCTGAGCTCTGGCTCCTCTGTGTGGCTGACCGTCTTGGGCTCGAGTTGTTCGTTGGGCTTTGCTCCCTTTGGCCTTGTCTCCCTGGGCTTGTTGTCGGGGTTGCGCTCGGTCTCGGTCTCCTTGTCGGCCTTGTTGCTCTCAGTCTGGGTGGCGGCGTCCGAGCAGGCTGGGCCTCTGCTCGAGACGCTGAAGTTCAAGTTCCACTGGCTCGTCACGAGCAGGTAGACCAGGGTGGCCGCGAGGAAGAAGGCCGGGTTGTTGTAGAACACCTCCAGGAAGTAGAACAGCAGGGCCTCGAAGTCGGTAACGTTGGGGCCCTCCACATAGCCGCTGCAGCCTTGCATGGTCATCACCATCAAGGCCTGCACCATTCTCACCATAAGGTCGCCGCCAGAACGTCCCAACACGTCTCGGCCAAGGGCTTCAGCACGCTTTTCCTGGCCAATACGGTTTCCTCGGTCGTCCACCATGCCCGCCATGAAGCACAGCATCCTCAGCCGCCGTTGCTGTAGGCTTTTCGTGCCCATGTCACTCGGGTCGAACTGGGTGGGCACGGCTGCCACACGCGGTGTTCGGGCTGCCACCCATTGTTGTATCCAAAGGCAGCTTGTTTGCAAATGCCTCACCCGGCCAACTCCAAGCCGGCTCGCGATGGCTCTTGCCACCGACGAGTCGCTCCTCATCACCAGTTGGGCTGCCTTCTGGGTTGTCCATACCCAGGGTTTGTGCACTAAATCGCTTGCTGGTGGCCTGGGTCAAAGTCACCACCTTCTGTCCCCGCACAAAGCTTTCCATGAGCGGGTGGTCGATGTAGATCGTCGGGGCGCAGCTTGCCGCGCGCAAAGTTCATCACTGACTTGCCTGGGGCCAGGCAAAGGTTACACCATAGCCCCGGGTTCCCCAAAGGTACCCCACCAAGTGCTTGATCAGCTTCATCGCCTTTGCCGTTGGCTTGGCTGCTCGGGAAGAGAGGTTCTGGATCACCGCCTGGGCATCCGGCCGCTCGTTGCTCATATAAAGCACTTTCCCAAGCATGGTCCGATACGTGGTGGCCTCGCGGGGGTTCAGATCCGTGGCGTCGGTGGCAAACATGTCGTCGGCACCTTTCCCGGGGTCGCCTTCACCTTGGGTCGCCTGGCCAGCTCGAAGAGGTCGTTGCAGAGGCACACCGGACCCGAACAGAACAGTGATCGAGCCATTGCTCTGGATTCCGGCTGGGGCACACAAAGGTAGGCGTCCTTGACGTCCATAACATAGATCGGGGTCGGCTTGCTCCTGAGGGTTCGGTTCTCCCAGGTCCACTGTCTCAACCATGCGCACCGAAAACTCCACATCGGCATCTCCTGGAAGACCGGCTGGTGCCCGCTTCTGCAGGCTGGGTGGTGAGGTGGCGGCATCTTCTCCAGCTCCTCCACTGATCTCCTCCGCTGCAAGGCTTTGCCGCCGGGCTCCTGACTCCTGTCTTCGGTCGCTACCTTCGGCTCTGTCTGGGCGCTCGGCCGGCGAAGGCGAAAACGACGGGCTGGCGCCGTACCAAGGCCTGGCGTCGAGGAGGTGGCTGGCACGGGCTGTGTAAACTTGGTGCCGTCGGCCAGCACGTGCATCCCCTCCTTGCCCACAAGCTTCTGCATCTCCTCTGTGAGGGTCACCTTGCGCACGCGCGGCGGCTCGGTGATCGAGCGCGCGAATGTCCCCGGCCACGGCCAAGGAGTTGTTCTTGAACTTCACGGGGGTGTGGTGGAGGCCGTAAGGCTCCTCAAGCGAAAGCCCCGCATCCTTGTGCACTAGGCTCCAGCCCTTGCGGAACAGCTTTCCCACCGCCAGCAAAGGCACCTTGACACGGCCCACCACACACACCTCGCGGATGCAATAGGCGTTGCCCTCGGCATTCCGAAGCCAGAACTCGTACTGGCGCAGGGAGTGGGTTGGAATAGCATTTCCCTGGGCATCGCAAAGGCGCGGCGGGCACGAGTTGCTTGGCACTGCGGCCCCCAGTTCTCGCAAACTCTCTGGGACCATTGAGGCGTCGGCGCCGGTGTCCAGGATGATCTGCGTGTTGGTGGCGGTCTCCTCGTCGCTGGGGTCGTGGCTCCCTTGGGCCGTGCCCCGTCCACCTCCAAACCTCACGGCCCGCACCGCGTAGTCTCTCTCTCTTGCTGAAGGGTTTTTAATTGTACTTTTGCGCGCCCCCAGCCAGTCTCACAAAAGGCCTCACTTTCTGCAGCTCTGTGGGCGCTTTGGCGGCAATCTAGCCGCTTGACTGAAAATGGGCCGTGGCAGGCTCTGAGTCCATTTCTGGCGCCAGTGACCCTGCAGAAATGGGGTTTCCTAGAAGCCAGGGAAAACAGCTGTGGATGCATTTCTGCAGTGTTGGTGAGCATGCCATGGAAGGCGTCGAAAAAAGCGAAGCATCAAAACTTTTCGGCAGCAGATGAGCCCAAAAGTCAGTTCCAGGGCCGGGGGCGAGCATGAGCATTAGAGGGCCGCGCCCGAGCATTTTGAGAGCAGTGGACGAGCCTCGCGAGAGCGGATGAGCATTGCAGATGAGAATCAGATGGGCTGATGAATTACAGATGAGCATCAATGAGCCGCGAATGAGCATCAGATGGGCCGTGGACGGATGACTGCAGATGAGCATCAGATGGGCTGCGGATGAACTGCAGATGAGCATCAACGAGCCGCGAATGAGCATCAAATGGGCCGTGGATGAACTGCAGATGAGCATCAGATGGGCTGCGGATGAATTGCAGATGAGCATCAAGATGGGCCGCGCAGATGAGCATCAGATGGGCTGGTGAGGAACTGCAGATGAGCATCAATAAGCAGCTGCGCGGCTGCCTTGCTTGTTTTCGAGACACACTTGCTGTGTATGGGGTCCATCGATACCTGCGGAGGTGTTGGGAAGCCACAATGCTGTCAGATTCTAGTCGACGCGTCTCGAATGCGCCGCCGCGACCTCTCGGACCATTTCTGGTTTTCCACCCCCTGCCAAAACGCGTTTTTCTAGAAACCAGGGAAAATGGCTATATGTGCATTCCATGCCAAGAACCACTGCT